AGGTATAGGTATAGGTATAGGTACAAGTACACGGCTAGCGAGACACTTATACCCGCACCTGTGCTCAGACCCCCCCCCAAGCGCACGACTAGCGGGGGTACGGTACAAGTAGTAGACAGGTATTGTCTGGGTTCCAAATACTGCAAAGGTGTAGATGTGGGGTCTTATATGGCGTGAGGGTAAGGTATACGTACTTTGAAAAGACCTGTACGTAAACCTACACCTATACCTGTACCTATACTGGGGTGGTTTAGGTACTGCGCTGCCCAGATACACCTGTCCAAAACCTGTACCTAGACTGGGTGTGGAAAAAGTGCTGCCGACACTGCTCCTCCAGACACACCTGTCCCACACCTGTACCTATACTGGGGGGGTTTAGGTACTGTCTGGGTTCCAAGGCCCTCATACTCGGGCGGATGCGGGGTCTTATGTGTGTGGGGGCGTGAGGGTGTACCTGGAAGGGGCGCTCTTGCTTACGTGCCCGCGTGATACACTTGTCCTATACCTATACCTGTACTGGGACTGCCGATACACCTGTCCTAAACCTGCCCCTGTTTAGGTACTGTCTGGGTTCCAAGCCCCTTCTACTGGGAAGGTTTACATGTGGGGTCTTATATGGCGTGAGGGTGTACCTGGAAGGTATAGGTACTTTTTACAGACCTGTACGTATACCTATACCTATGCCTGTACCTATACTGGGGTGGTTTGGGTACTGATACACCTGTCCAAAACCTGTACCTAGACTGGGTGGAAAAAGTGCTGCCGACACTGCTCCTCCAGACACACCTGTCCTACACCTGTACCTATACTGGGGGGGGTTTAGGTACTGTCTGGGTTCCAAGGCCCTCATACTCGGGGGGGTTTAGATGCGGGGTCTTATGTGTGTGGGGGCGTGAGGGTGTACCTGGAAGGGGCGCTCTTGCTTACGTGCCCGCGTGATACACTTGTCCTATACCTATACCGGTACTGGGACTGCCGACACTGCCCAAATACACTTGTCCTATACCTATACCTATACTGGGGGGGTTTAGGTACTGCCTACACTGCCCAAATACACTTGTCCTTTACCTGTCCCTGTACTGAGGGGGGTTTAGGTAGCTGCCCAGATACACTTGTCTTATACCTATACCTATACTAAGGGGGTTTAGGTACTGCTGCACTGCCCAGATATACTTGTCCTATACCTATATCTATACTGGGGGGGTTTAGGTACTGTCTGGGTACCATGTGAGCAACTCAGGGAGCGAGTTGAAGGGAACCCAAATGGAGGTTATTTTCAGTTGCCCAACCATTTGGGATAAAGCTTGGCAATTTGAAAAAATAAAAGGTGAAAAGGCCGGCTTTGGGCAAATGAGTGCAATGGAAAAAGCCATCTGCTATACTCGATGCTCAGCCAACTTGAGATAGCCATAGGATACACCGGACCTAATTAACTGGAGTTGGTTCCTGACCCACAGTGGCCATGGGGAGTGAGCAAAAATGGCACCTGCAAAAGGTTTGGCTTTTGTGGGTCCAATTCGGAAAATCCGTTAAGTTTCAACCAAAAGAACAAGTCCAAAGACGGTCTCCATCAAATTTGGTATCCCGTCCTTTCTGATTTCCCTTCTTGGCATCCCTGCTCGGTGTCCCAGAAGCAAAGTTACCATAAAGAAATGATCTCTATGCGCTGTGCCAATCCATAAAGTCAATAAACAAGTCGGGAGCGAACCTCCCCCATCCTGCCCCCCTTCACCGTCTGCCAGCAAAAACAAGAATGCACAGTCTCTCTTGAACTCGTCCGCTCAGGCAAGCCAATTGGGAATTGGGGCCGGATTATGGAAGAATTGACTTATCTGCACTTTGTATCGTGGAACAACTCCTACTACGGGCATGTATACATGCCTTACTACTACGATTCTGGAAAAATGGATCATACAGCAGGTGCAAAAAATGATAGACAAAGTGACTTACCCTAAGGGTCATGCACCCTCCAATGCACACCCCCGGACCCTCCAATGGAGAACTCCGACCAATTTTTCAGGGGGAGACCCTTAGATTACTCTACAAACGTGATTTATGGCGCCAGCGCTAAGGCTCTCTCTCCTCGCCCACGCTCCGCATCCCAAAATGCGGCCTTTTTTTGTAGTCTATTTTACTAGGGGGTTCCCCCAAAAACAGTTTCAGGGCACCTAGCTGGGGGACCTAGCTAAACCAAAGTGACTTTTTTCGTCGCGAGCCCACGCTCCAAATCCCAAAGAACTGTCCTGCGTGGCTGTGAGTTGGGCCGCTCTGGACATCGCCTCACCGGAAATGGGCCACCCCAGGGCCCAAAAGGTGGGGGGGGGGGGTCGGGGAGAAGGGGAGAAGGGGAAACATCACCGTTCTTGGAGGCTGGGGGGGGGGGGGGGTGGGGGTGGTGATCAAACACCACCGCTTTTTCTCCCTTTTTGTTTTTGTGGTAGTGGGCCACTTACACCCCTACAAATTTCTCTGTTTTTTGGTGGTGGGCCACTTACAGCCCTACAAACAATTGGTCACCCCCCAGGGCCTACTTTCAAACATGCACATGAAGCCCCACTCGTTTCTTGAGTGGATTGGCCAGAAAAAGGGAAGCCCAACTTCTGGTTTGCCACTAAAATGGCCCAAGCCAAAAAAATATGCTCAGGCGATATCCCCAACAGCATGCGGTGCTCTTGTTAGCGCTCACCACCCCGCAGCCCTCGCAGAACCTCGTGGAACCTCGTGGAACCCTCGCTCGTGGAACCCGGGTGGAACCTTACCTCAGGGCCGCCCCGTACCACCCCGAAGCCTATCTGGGCTGAGGCTCCAAAGCTTTCAGCTGTTGGGGAAAAATGAGTCCAGGAAGGTACCTTGAAGAACAAAATGCATCGAAAAGCGATTTACCTTGCAAGAAAAGGTGGGTGGGTGTGGTGTGAGGTGGGTGTGCTGGGTGTGGTGGGTGAAAAAGCGGTTTTTGTGGGTGTGGTTGGTTTACTTGCAAGAAAAGGCCGGAGCATCCACCGTATGGACCGATTGACAATTCGTTGGTTTGCCATGTCCCTCGCAACCGGCGTGTGCGATTGCGTGTCCCCTCTAGAACTCCAATCGGTAGCTCTGAAAAGGACACACCCATACTGTATGCTTGTCTTGCCCGTTTGTCCCCCTATTTACTGTTTGAGTTTCCCCGGTTTCAGTGGAGGTTCATCGCGTTTGGAATGAAAACACCCCCTAGGAATTGGATTCTGCCTCTTTTAAATCCGGGGGATGTGCTTAAAAATATGTCTTATTTTCCCTGTTGGTCGTAAAGGGAATCTATCACTACTGGAAATATTGTTCCAGGGAACTTTTTTGGGGGTCCCCATTAAAAAGATACACACCCATTTGCTTATAATACGTCCTTGACGCAAACAAGAAACAGATTCTCCAGTGGTGATCGATTCCCTTCAAAACCAGAGAAAACAACACATATATGTTGCAAATGGAAGTGTGAGTGTGGGGGAAGCAAATGGAGGATTCATTTGGGGGAAAGCAATGACGACACCTCGCTCGCCAGGCGCCTCTTGCTGAATCGCCTGGCTCTCCTGCTCCAGGTGTTGGATGCGTTGATGCCTTAGTCTCATGGCTTTAAACATGCGACGAACCCTGGAGCATTTCTAACAAATGGGGGGGGGGGGGGGCTGGCTTTTTGCCAGCAACAAAAACAGTGTTGGTGGTTTTACGAAGAGGACACCACGGGAGCAACACAAAACAACCGCGGGTTCACGATTTAAAGACCCACCCCAATTGGAAACAAAGGATGCACCCCAATGGGTGGAAACAAAGGATGAAACACACACACACAGAGACACAGAGACACACAGAGACATACACACACATGATTGTCCCTTGGTGCAAGCGATTGGAACCTGCTTAGTAGAGACAACGCTTAGGACGACGCCGAAAGAGCTCGTCAACACAAAGCGAAGTGATCTTCCAGCAGCCCCCCTTCCATGTTGCTAGTCTGGGTCTCGTTCATGCTGGAGGGCCCTGTGAGGATCTGTCCAGCAGAATTCACAGCATCAGGTTACACCTGTTTCACGGGACGCGTGGCATACCTCGAAGAGGAAACCCACCCCCTACTCAAAATACCCGCTTCTTTTCATGGTATTTTTGGGAAAACCTGGTTTTCCATGGTAAATACCTCCTTCTTTAGTCGAGGGTCGACATGATACCCTGAAAAAAGAGGTATTTGGAGTAGGGGGCACAGGAAGGTCCAACCAGGATCATCCTGACTCCACTATGGCAAGCAAAGCAACCACCAAGCATGGCAACTTGTAGTAAATTTGAGAGCTCCCTTGTTCCTCTACTTGCAATATGGCAAACGGGGCATCCACAGTATCGTGTTGAAGTGTCACCCTAAGATGCACAATTGCACGGATGGGCAAAACATGCAGAATGCATGTCCTGACACGTGTTTAACACACCCCCAAAGGACTTGTTGTGAGCTTGGACAATTCGCACAAATCCAGGTCAGCGAACAACATGTACCGGGCCCCCGACCAAATAAGAAGGGGTTCTTTTAGGTTCCTAGCACACTTACATCTTGCGCCATCTCTTGTTTGGCTCTTCGATGCTGTATTCGCAGATTCCGCCCCTCAAATCACTGCAATACGAGTTCTCATGATGGACCTCTTTCAAGGGAAGCCACAGGAAAACCAACTGGACAAGGGGACCACTACTTGGGGACACACCGCATTGCCAGCAATCGCAACCGCAACGCGAAATGGTCTTCGTCCATCAGTACGCCAAACCGAGGCCCCAGAGTACGTGGCCTGTTTTTTGGGGAAAGGTTTTCGATTGAAACCAACCAAAAGAAGTACCCTTACGAAAAGACCCCCCAGATTACCTGTGAAACCAACCAAAAGAAGTACCCTTAAGAAAAGACCCCCCAGATTACCTGGGGGACCTCAAGGTTTTCGTTTGAAGCCAACCAACAGGGGTACCCTTAAGAAAAGACCCCCCCCCAGATTACCTGCTGAGCATCAACTCCTGCTTCTCCAGGGAGAAGGACTTGGCAGCTCCCCACTCTCTCCCTGTGTCCAGTGCGGCGCTCTGCTCGTTCCGTTCCAAGGTCTGGACGCGCAGTTGCCTGGGCGCCGTGTTTGAACGTCTGCAGTCAACGGCCAGACAAGCAGGGCCGCGGAAAGCAAACGTTCACCTCTGTCCATGGCTAATAAAGCTTAAGCTGCCGCATGTGGCAAGCAACTCTCGTCACTCGCATGCTCGAAAACTGCCCTGCTCAACGTGCAGCTAAGACTCAACTCCAGCTTCTCCCTCTCCAGCGCAGTGTTGGCCTGCTCGGTCTGTTCCAAGATCTGGATGCGTTGTTTCCTGGGCGCAGTGGCATGTTTCAATGTTAGTCAAAGTCTGACAAGTGTGGCCACGGAAGCACATGCTCTCTCTTTCACACGTGCCGCCGCGTGCAGCCAAGCTGCAACTCCTCTTTCTCCCTCTCCAGTGCGGCGTTGGCCTGCTCGCTCTGTTCCAAGGTCTGGATGTGTCGTTGCCTAGGGCATGTTCTAGGACTGACGCAGTCAAATCGAGCTACGTGTGGCCACCCATTCCTCATCCATCATGCTGATACAGCAAGAGAGATGTCTTGGGAAACCGTCTTCCTGCTTGGTGCGCGCTTGAAACTGAAACTGCCTGTTTTATGTGCTGCCCAGCGTCAGCTCTTGCTGCTCCTTCTCCAGAACTGCCTTGGCCTGCTCGCTGTGTTCCATGATGTGGATGCGTCGTTGCCTGGGCAAAGTACTGTTTGCGGTGAACATAGGTCACATTTGGCCTGTACTCCCTCATTCACCATGCTGCGTGGTTAATGTGGCAAGCAAGATTTCATTAGGGGACCGTCCCTGCACTCACATGATTGACATTGCCCTTTCTATGTGCAGCCTAGTGTCAGCTCTTGATTGTCCTTCTCCAAAGCTGCCTTGGCCTGCTCGCTATCTTCCAAGGTCTGGATGCGTCGTTGCCTGGGCAACGACGCGTTTTAGCCACATGCGACACTCATTTCTCGGTCATCTCGCTGCTTGGCTTGTGCGGGCGGCTAAAAAGCGTTCTTTACCAAATCTAGGCAACCGTCTCTGCTCATCGCATGTATAAAAGCTTCCCTGTATATGTGCTGCCGAGCGTCAGCTCTTGCTTGTCCGTCTCCAGAACTGCCTTGGCCTGCTCGCTGTGTTCCAAGATCTGGATGCGTCGTTGCCTGGGCAAAGTACCGTTTGCGGTCAAGTTTTGTCACATTTGGCCTGCACCTTCTCATTCAACGAGCTGCTTGGCTCATGTGGCAAGCAAGACTTCATTAGGAGACCGTCCCTGCACTCACATGCTTGAAATTGCCCTTTCTATGTGCAGCCTAGTGTCAGCTCTTGCTTCTCCTTCTCCAAAGCTGCCTTGGCCTGCTCACTATCTTCCAGGGTCTGGATGCGTCGTTGCCTGGGCAAAGTCACGTTCCAGGATTGCAGCGGTAAAATGCAGCCAAACGTGGCCCATCATTGATCATCCATCATGCTGCCCGGCTTCTGCGCGAAGAACGTACTCTCTTTTCAGGCACTGTCCCTACTGAGCACATGCTCGACAACTACCCTGTATTTTTCGCTGCCCAGCGTCAGCTCTTGCTTCTCTTTCTCCACAACTGCGTTGGCCTGCTCGTTCTGTTCCAAGGTCTCGATGCGTCGTTGCCTGGACAACGACGCGTTTTAGGATTGCAATCAATTCGAGCCACGTGCGTCCACTCATTTCTCGGTCATCGCGCTGCTTGGCTTGTGCGGGCGGCTAAAACGCGTTCTTTACCAAATCTAGGCAACCGTCTCTGCTCATCGCATGTATAAAAGCTTCCCTGTATATGTGCTGCCCAGCGTCATCTCTTCCTTTTCCTTCTCCAGAACTGCCTTGGCCTGCTCGCTGTGTTCCAAGATCTGGATGCGTCGTTGCCTGGGCAAAGTACGGTTTGCGGTCAATTTTTGTCACATTTGGCCTGCACTTCCTCATTCACCGTGCTGCTTGGCTCATGTGGCAAGCAAGATTAGATTAGGGGATCGTCCCTGCCACATGCTTGAAATTGCACTTTCTATGTGCAGCCTAGTGTCAGCTCTTGCTTCTCCTTCTCCAAAGCTCCCTTGGCCTGCTCACTATCTTCCAGGGTCTGGATGCGTCGTTGCCTGGGCAAAGTCACGTTCCAGGATTGCAGCGGTAAAATACAGCCAAACGTGGCCTATCATTGATCATCCATCATGCTGCCCGGCTTCTGCGCGAAGAACGTACTCTCTTTTCAGGCACTGTCCCTACTGAGCACATGCTCGACAACTACCCTGTATTTTTTGCTGCCCAGCGTCAGCTCTTGCTTCTCTTTCTCCACAACTGCATTGGCCTGCTCGTTCTGCTCCAAGGTCTGGATGCGTCGTTGCCTGAGCAACGACGTGTTTTAGGATTGCAACCAATTCGAGCCACATGCGACACTCATTTCTCGGTCATCTCGCTGCTTGGCTTGTGCGGGCGGCTAAAAAGCGTTCTTTACCAAATCTAGGCAACCGTCTCTGCTCATCGCATGTATAAAAGCTTCCCTGTATATGTGCTGCCCAGCGTCATCTCTTCCTTTTCCTTCTCCAGAACTGCCTTGGCCTGCTCGCTGTGTTCCAAGATCTGGATGCGTCGTTGCCTGGGCAAAGTACGGTTTGCGGTCAATTTTTGTCACATTTGGCCTGCACTTCCTCATTCACCGTGCTGCTTGGCTCATGTGGCAAGCAAGATTAGATTAGGGGATCGTCCCTGCCACATGCTTGAAATTGCACTTTCTATGTGCAGCCTAGTGTCAGCTCTTGCTTCTCCTTCTCCAAAGCTCCCTTGGCCTGCTCACTATCTTCCAGGGTCTGGATGCGCCGTTGCCTGGGCAAAGTCACGTTCCAGGATTACAGCGGTAAAATGCAGCCAAACGTGGCCCATCATTGATCATCCATCATGATACCTTGCTTCTGCGCGAAGAAATTACGCTCGTTTCGGGCACCGTCCCTACTCAGCACATGCTCGACAACTGCCCTGTCTATACGCTGCCCAGCGTCAGCTCTTGCTTCTCTTTCTCCACAACTGCGTTGGCCTGCTCGTTCTGTTCCAAGGTCTGGATGCGTCGTTGCCTTGGCAAAGTCATGTTTGGGATTGCACCAGTGAAATTTGCCACACTTGGCCACTCCTCATTCATCATGCTGCTTGGCTGGCCTGGCTTGATCCCTGCTTCCTATCTATGAACGGACCCCCTCCAGCTGACCCAATAATTGCCAATACTAATTATCCCAATCTTCAACTACCTAAGAATGAACCAATACTAAACTCTGAAAACCAAATGAACTCAGCCAAGAACCCCACATGTGCTTGTTATAAGCGGGAGAGGTTTTGATCATTAGGGTCTCTATTAGGCTCTCTTCATAAGGTCTTACTCAAGTTGAATTCTCAGCGCGCTTGTTTCTCAAACCAAAGGGCGGCCTTGCAGGAGAGGCGGTTATTGCAGGTTCTCTTCATAATAAGGCCTACTCAACAGTTGCATTCTGAACGCTATGCTTGCAAACAGAAAGGGTCCCTTCCCTTTAAAAGCTGTTGCTCAATAGTTGTATCCTGAATACCTTGCTTGCAAATCAAAGGGGTCCCTCTTGTGCAATTTAATGCCAAACAACGCAATCTGAAACCCGTTCTGGAAAAAGAAACATATCCGATTTGGTTATCATTGAGGGGAACATTACTATTGAGGGGACCGGAGAATGTGGCAAGCAAGCTTTCTTTAGGTCACCCATGCTTGAGTACTTGACTTTCGGAACTTCTCAGTGCTGCCTAGAGTCAGCTCTTGCTTCTCCTTGCCCAGCAATGCCTTGGCCTGATCGCTCTGTTCCAAGGTCTGGATGCGCCGCTGCCTGGAAAAAGTCACGGCTTTTGATCACAAGAAAAAATCCGCCACACGGGCCACTCCTCATTCATCATTCGGTTTGGCGGGCTTGGCTTATGTGGCAAGCAACGATTCTTCAGGCCTTTATGCCACCGTCTCTACTCAACGCATAATTGAATACTTGCCTGTCGACAATTTCTAGTTGATGCCTAGCGTCAGCTCTTGCTTCTCCTTCTCCAGCACTGCCTTGGCCTGCTCGCTCTGTTCCAAGGTCTGGATTCGCCGTTGCCTGGGCAAGTCACGGCTATTGATCACAAGTGAAATTCCGCGACACGTGGCCACTCCTCATTCATCATGCTGCCTGCCTGGCCTGGCTTCTGTGGGCAGAATGCTTTTTAGGCCTTTACGCCACCGTCTCTACTCAACGCTTGCTCGAATACTTGCCGGTCGAAATTCTAATTGCTGCCTAGCGTCAGCTCTTGCTTCTCCTTCTCCAGCACTGCCTTGGCCTGCTCGCTCTGTTCCAAGGTCTGGATTCGCCGTTGCCTGGGCAAGTCACGGCTTTTGATCACAAGTGAAAATTTGCCACACGTGGCCACTCCTCATTCATCATGCTGCCTGCCTGGCCGAGCTTCTGTGGGCAGGATGTTTTTAGGCCTTTACGCCACCGTCTCTACTCAACGCTTGCTCGAATACTTGCCTGTCGAAATTCTAATTGCTGCCTAGCGTCAGCTCTTGCTTCTCCTTCTCCAGCACTGTCTTGGCCTGCTCGCTCTGTTCCAGGGTCTGGATGCGCCGTTGCCTGGAAAAGTCACGGCTTTTGATCACAAGTGAAATTCCGCCACACGTGGCCACTCCTCATTCATCATGCTGCCTGCCTGGCCTAGCTTATGTGAGCAGGACGTTTTTTAGGCCTTTACGCCACCGTCTCTACTCAACGCTTGCTCGAATACATGCCTGTCGAAATTCTAATTGCTGCCTAGCGTCAGCTCTGGCTTCTCCTTCTCCAGCACTGCCTTGGCCTGCTCGCTCTGTTCCAAGGTCTGGATTCGCCGTTGCCTGGGCAAGTCACGGCTTTTGATCACAAGCGACAATCCGCCACACGTGGCCACTCCTCATTCATCATGCTGCCTGCCTGGCCTGGCTTCTGTGGGCAGAATGTTTTTTAGGCCTTTACGCCACCGTTTCTACTCAACGCTTGCTCGAATACTTGCCGGTTGAAATTCTAATTGCTGCCTAGCGTCAGCTCTTGCTTCTCCTTCTCCAGCACTGCCTTGGCCTGCTCGCTCTGTTCCAAGGTCTGGATTCGCCGTTGCCTGGGCAAGTCACGGCTTTTGATCACAAGTGAAATTCCGCCACACGTGGCCACTCCTCATTCATCATGCTGCCTGCCTGGCCTAGCTTATGTGGGCAGGATGTTTTTTAGGCCTTTACGCCACCGTCTCTACTCAACGCTTGCTCGAATACTTGCCTGTCGAAATTCTAATTGCTTCCTAGCGTCAGCTCTTGCTTCTCCTTCTCCAGCACTGCCTTGGCCTGCTCGCTCTGCTCCAAGGTCTGGATTCGCCGTTGCCTGGGCAAGTCACGGCGTTTGATGACAAGTGAAAGTCCACCACACGCGGCCACTTTGGCGGGCTTGGCTTATGTGGCAAGCGATATGTCTTTAGGCCATTCTACGCCAACGTCTCTGCTCAACGCATGCTTGAGTACTTGCCGGTCGAAATTATAATTGCTGCCTAGCGTCAGGTCTTGCTTCTCCTTCTCCAGTACTGCCTTGGCCTGCTCGCTCTGTTCCAAGGTCTGGATGCGCCGTTGCCTGGAAACAGTCACGGCTTTTGATCACAAGTGAAAATCCGCCACACGTGGCCACTCCTCATTCATCATGCTACCTGGCCAGCCTAGCTTATGTGGGCAGGATGTGTTTTAGGCCTTTACGCCATCGTCTCTACTCATCGCATGCTTCAACACTTGCCTGTCGAAATTTCCAATTGCTGCCTAGCGTCAGCTCTTGCTTCTCCTTCTCCAGCACTGCCTTGGCCTGCTCGCTCTGTTCCAAGGTCTGGATGCGCCGTTGCCTGGAAACAGTCACGGCTTTTGATCACAAGTGAAAATTCGCCACACGTGGCCACTCCTCATTCATCATGCTACCTGGCTAGCCTAGCTTATGTGGGCAGGATGTGTTTTTGGCCTTAACGCCACCGTCTCTACTCATCGCATGCTTCAACACTTGCCTGTCGAAATTTCGAATTGCTGCTTAGCGTCAGCTCTTGCTTCTCCTTCTCCAGCACTGCCTTGGCCTGCTCGCTCTGTTCCAAGGTCTGGATGCGCCGTTGCCTGGAAACAGTCACGGCTTTTGATCACAAGTGAAAATCCGCCACACGTGGCCACTCCTCATTCATCATGCTACCTGGCTAGCCTAGCTTATGCGGGCAGGATGTGTTTTTGGCCTTTACGCCACCGTCTCTACTCATCGCAAGCTTCAACACTTGCCTGTCGAAATTTCCAATTGCTGCCTAGCGTCAGCTCTTGCTTCTCCTTCTCCAGCACTGCCTTGGCCTGCTCGCTCTGTTCCAAGGTCTGGATGCGCCGTTGCCTGGAAACAGTCACGGCTTTTGATCACAAGTGAAAATCCGCCACACGTGGCCACTCCTCATTCATCATGCTACCTGGCTAGCCTAGCTTATGCGGGCAGGATGTGTGTTTGGCCTTTACGCCACCTTTTCTACTCATCGCAAGCTTCAACACTTGCCTGTCAAAAATTCCAATTGCTGCCTAGCGTCAGCTCTTGCTTCTCCTTCTCCAGCACTGCCTTGGCCTGCTCGCTCTGTTCCAAGGTCTGGATGCGCCGTTGCCTGGAAACAGTCACGGCTTTTGATCACAAGTGAAAATTCGCCACACGTGGCCACTCCTCATTCATCATGCTACCTGGCTAGCCTAGCTTATGTGGGCAGGATGTGTTTTAGGCCTTTACGCCACCGTCTCTACTCATCGCATGCTTCAACACTTGCCTGTCGAAATTTCCAATTGCTGCCTAGCGTCAGCTCTTGCTTCTCCTTCTCCAGCACTGCCTTGGCCTGCTCGCTCTGTTCCAAGGTCTGGATGCGCCGTTGCCTGGAAACAGTAACGGCTTTTGATCACAAGTGAAAATTCGCCACACGTGGCCACTCCTCATTCATCATGCTACCTGGCTAGCCTAGCTTGTGTGGGCAGGATGTGTTTTAGGCCTTTACGCCACCGTCTCTACTCATCGCATGCTTCAACACTTGCCTGTCGAAATTTCCAATTGCTGCCTAGCGTCAGCTCTTGCTTCTCCTTCTCCAGCACTGCCTTGGCCTGCTCGCTCTGTTCCAAGGTCTGGATGCGCCGTTGCCTGGAAACAGTCACGGCTTTTGATCACAAGTGAAAATCCGCCACACGTGGCCACTCCTAGGATGTTTTTAGGCCTTTACGCCACCGTCTCTACTCATCGCATGCTTTAACACTTGCCTGTCGAAATTTCCAATTGCTGCCTAGCGTCAGCTCTTGCTTCTCCTTCTCCAGCACTGCCTTGGCCTGCTCGCTCTGTTCCAAGGTCTGGATGCGCCGTTGCCTGGAAACAGTCACGGCTTTTGATCACAGGTGAAAATTCGCCACACGTGGCCACTCCTCATTCATCATGCTACCTGGCTAGCCTAGCTTATGTGGGCAGGATGTGGTTTTGGCCTTCACGCCACCGTCTCTACTCATCGCAAGCTTCAACACTTGCCTGTCGAAATGTCCAATTGCTGCCTAGCGTCAGCTCTTGCTTCTCCTTCTCCAGCACTGCCTTGGCCTGCTCGCTCTGTTCCAAGGTCTGGATGCGCCGTTGCCTGGAAACAGTTTTGAAGGTGAAAATTCGCCACACGTGGCCACTCCTCATTCATCATGCTACCTGGCTAGCCTAGCTTATGTGGGCAGGATGTGTTTTGGCCTTTACGCCACCGTCTCTACTCATCGCAAGCTTCAACACTTGCCTGTCGAAATTTCCAATTGCTGCCTAGCGTCAGCTCTTGCTTCTCCTTCTCCAGCACTGCCTTGGCCTGCTCGCTCTGTTCCAAGGTCTGGATGCGCCGTTGCCTGGAAACAGTCACGGCTTTTGATCACAAGTGAAAATCCGCCACACGTGGCCACTCCTCATCATCATGCTACCTGGCTAGCCTAGCTTTTGTCGGCAGGATGTGTTTTAGGCCTTTACGCCACCGTCTCTACTCATCGCATGCTTCAACACTTGCCTGTCGAAATTTCCAATTGCTGCCTAGCGTCAGCTCTTGCTTCTCCTTCTCCAGCACTGCCTTGGCCTGCTCGCTCTGTTCCAAGGTCTGGATGCGCCGTTGCCTGGAAACAGTCACGGCTTTTGATCACAAGTGAAAATCCGCCACACGTGGCCACTCCTCATCATCATGCTACCTGGCTAGCCTAGCTTTTGTCGGCAGGATGTGTTTTAGGCCTTTACGCCACCGTCTCTACTCATCGCATGCTTCAACACTTGCCTGTCGAAATTTCCAATTGCTGCCTAGCGTCAGCTCTTGCTTCTCCTTCTCCAGCACTGCCTTGGCCTGCTCGCTCTGTTCCAAGGTCTGGATGCGCCGTTGCCTGGAAACAGTAACGGCTCTTGATCACAAGTGAAAATCCGCCACACGTGGCCACTCCTCATCATCATGCTACCTGGCTAGCCTAGCTTTTGTGGGCAGGATGTTTTTAGGCCTTTACGCCACCGTCTCTACTCATCGCATGCTTCAACACTTGCCTGTCGAAATTTCCAATTGCTGCCTAGCGTCAGCTCTTGCTTCTCCTTCTCCAGCACTGCCTTGGCCTGCTCGCTCTGTTCCAAGGTCTGGACGCGCCGTTGCCTGGAAACAGTCACGGCTTTTGATCACAAGTGAAAATCCGCCACACGTGGCCACTCCTCATCATGATGCTACCTGGCTAGCCTAGCTTTTGTGGGCAGGATGTTTTTAGGCCTTTACGCCACCGTCTCTACTCATCGCATGCTTCAACACTTGCCTGTCGAAATTTCCAATTGCTGCCTAGCGTCAGCTCTTGCTTCTCCTTCTCCAGTACTGCCTTGGCCTGCTCGCTCTGTTCCAAGGACTGGATGCGTTGTTGCCTTGGCACGGGCCCTCGAGTGTAGTGCAACTGGCAGCCTGTCAGCCGGTGAATATACTTACCCTAGGTGTCATTCTGAAAATATGGATGACACAAGTGAATGACTGGAATTGCCTTGCCCAAAGGACCCAGCAATCAAAGGTTCACTGTTGGGCACATTTACTGAAAATGGACCAACATTGGAAGACCAAAAGTTGGCTTTGGGCAAGCAAGAGAACCAATCTCAACCAAACTAGACGAATGTAACCGGGTTTTTGAAGTAATTAACCCCCTTGTTGTGTTGTTTTGTTGAAGTAACCCCCCTTTTTGGGTGGCCTGAAAGTGAGTTGTTTGCTTCTTTTTGAGGACCCCCTGTTGTCGGCTGAACCTGCCAAATTTGGAGCAGAACACCAACTCGCTAGCTGAGAACCGTGGACCACACTGGGGCTCTCCTTTCTTTGTGCCTTTTTTTCTTTTCTTTTTTTCTTTTTATGCGTGTGTGGTTTTAAAGGGGGACAACCGTTGCGCCACTTTGGGGGTGCCCTCAACAAGAATCACACACACACAAACACACATCCTCACTTTTGATTGAGTGGGCTGGCCTAAAACCGGAGTGAGTTCTATGAGTTTCCGCGAGGATTCTTATGTCCACCCAACTGGGCTGCCCTCAGATCCCCCTCTAAAAGTTCAACTTTTAGTGGGTTCAATGGAAATTACCACTAAACACTAAAAAGCTAAAAGGCTAAGGAACCGGATGGCTGGGAGCCACCAAGCCAAATGGAAGCTCTGACAATTCATGGATATTTCGTCAGTTAAGCCCATCCCAAAAGGTCAAATCTAAAAGGTCAGATCCAGTCGGTTTCGCTTTAACTGAGACTTCAGGTTGATCCCATATTCAGCAACCCCAGTTTATTTCTAGGGGGGTTTTTGGCCCCTCAAAAGTGGTCTGATTCCCTGCCAAACCCGAGGAGAAGCACGCCCCCTAATACACTGGGGTTTATCAATACTCCCCAGTTGATTAATACTGTAAACTCAGTTGCCCAAAGGACCTGCAACTAAAAGGTTAACCTTTTGGGACCTCTACTAAAAATCGACCAAAATGGGAAAACCAAAAGGTCAAAAGGTCGATTCGCTTTGAATAACTGAGTAAATGGACAAACTCCACGCACCGATAAAGGAAACCCGTGTTTGATCCGATTCCCCAGGCTGTCAAATCATGGTAACAAGCCATGGCAAATCAGTTCGTGGTAGGAGAAAAAACCGGAGTTCGATTTCAACCACCCACATAATTTTACTAAACCGGTTGGCTTTCAATTGTTTAATGACGACATTCCTTGCAACAACAAATTTCAATGGCTTCCTGAAAAGAGTCGGATGGAAAGAACGGACATGGAATCCCCTAGAAGTATACGGCCCATACGGCCCATGCATTTTCTTGGTTGCTGTTGAGCCCCCTGCAACAAGTTTCTCATTTGTTTGGGGTTTAGTGGAAAACCCAACTTGGTTTCAACCAAAAAGTTAAAGTCTAAAGATCCTTTTTGCCCAATAGCAGTACAGTTTTGGGGTCAACAAAGGCCCAAAGGCCAAGCAGCTGCAGCTGCTCGAGCTTCTGAAGCTTGCTCTCCGTCTCCCCGCACCTCAAAAGCCGCTGCCGTGCCGCAGGAAAAAATGAAAACAAATCCGAGCTCCTGGGCGGCTCGATGTTTTGTTTTTTGAGTTGGTGACTTGTTTTTTGAGGGTTCCCTGCGTTTAGTCATGTCCTATTGGGAAGTAAACTGCTCCCCCTACCAGCACGAGTCAATAGGTCTGGCCATCCGTCCGAGGATTGGTCAGGGCATCGCTGGGGAAGTTATGTGGTTGATACAGGGGGCGCGGAGATTCCTTTTACCCCTACCAACAGTTGAGGGAGTAATGCTGCCTTGAGACCAAAACGGAGTCGCACGGGGGCTTTGGTCGGTTGTAGGGTCCCTGACTGCCTGAGTGGATTGGACAGAAACGTCGAGACTGTTTGGCTTGCCCAACCCCAAACAGTGAGTTAAGTCTCCTGTCGGGGACCTAGATGGCGGTATGTCATTCAACTGGAGGCCCTTCACTTGACATCATTTAGCGGGGCTGTTTGCCCACCAACATTTTTGAGGGGGTCCAACTCTTTAAAAAGCCACAGCCACACGCACGGAATACTCCCCTACAAACTAATTTGTGCAGAACTTCAAAAGGGTTTCATGGGTTCCATGTCTATCTGGGCTGTTCCCAGATCCTCCAGTGGAAACTACCACCAAACCAGCTAAAAGCTAAACAAAAACTAAGGAACTGGGTAGCTGGGAAGCACCAAGTTTATCTGCAAGGGAGTAGCTGGGGGAAGTGAGTGTACTACCAATTTTTCCGAGGGTCTGAAGAAAGTCTGTGAAAATGCTGGCCGAGGCACTCCTGCTGTAGCTGGGCTCTCTTGGCAGACTCCTCCTTTGCCGCCTGACACCATCAGGCTCCTTATTACATCGCCCAAGGACACTCACTACAAGGAATACAGGAAACGCCACCTTGAGGGAACATCATCCATCTAAGCCCAAAAACTAATGTTTAAAAGTACCAAATCGCCCAGACGCGATGTTTGTAAAGCATGCCAAATGAAAGGGTAAGAATTGAGCCATCACAACTTGGGGACGGTACGCAACATATGACATTTAGACGTTTTGTTTTTCCCCCCGAATCACCCGACGTTTCAAGCCAACCTGCAGGCAAACTAACACTGCCAACCCCCGCCCCCCAACGGGGTTAAGGGAGGCTTCCTCTTCCTCCAGAGGGCGTGAACAAATCTGGATAAGCCAAACATTTGAAAGAGAGTTGCAGGTCCTCATTTGTTCTCCAAGGCTTTTTCTTTATGGGGCTTACCCCCCCCCCCCCACCTCACAGCCCTGATCTTAGAACTTGAGGCTCCTGAACTTGGGGGGGTCCATATCAGGCTAGTTGTGCTGCCCGCATAAGCCTCCGTACATTTGGGCTACGCTGCTGCACATTGCCCGTGCTGCAAGTGATCAAACCTAGTAGAACCCGGCGAAGCATGGCTGTGTCGTTGCCCCCAAGCCGACTGGAACATATTTTTTTCCCAAAAGTGAAAGGCTCAAGGTGAAACACACAGATGCTTGTTCCTTTTCCGGCACAGGCCTGCCAGTCCCGGCAAAAAAAAGAAAAAAGATCCCTAATCCAATGAACAGAACCCAAGAAGCAGACAAACACATGTTCAAACATCGCACTGTGTTTGAAGACAGGCGCGCAACCCTAGCTGCTCCTTTTGCTTTTGGACACACCAATCAACAGGACGAAGCAAAGTCTTGGACCACCCGTATCTGGGTTGGTAAGTGCTTGTACCTGCTTAGTCAAGATTGCTTAAATTGCCTCCGCTGCGGAAATCTCCGACACTTCCACCGCCTCTGTGTTGCCCTTGAGAAAAAAAGGGGCCAAGGGCCGCTGGTTTTGACATGGCCCAAGGTATGCCGAGACTCTGCCTCAGATTCAGTCAACCTTGGAATACGCAAACTGTATGGAGGAGATCCCAGGAAAAAACAACAAAACATTCAGCCGCCCAGGGTTTGGGCGTTGAGGCGCAGTTTTTACCACTCCATGAAGGTTCCTGTTTTGCCAAGGGAGCCCAGGTTCACGTCAAGGTTCATGGCTGAAGCCATTTGTCTCACTTCCTCAGTGGAAACTTCTTGGTTACCACTAAACTCGCCTTTCCAAGTCTGAAGTCCAGGAACTGAATGAGGACTAGGTCCTCCAGATTTGAGAGGTTAGAATGAGGGTACCGTTTCTTTTTTCTGTAACCTATTTTAGTAGGGGAACCCTCCCAAACAAAAAAGGGGGTGAGAAAGGGCACCTAGCTGGGGGACCTAGAGGAGCGCTTTGTGTTGCAACCAGCCCTCGCGAATCGCGTCGACACCAAAAAAGCGAACCCCCCCCCCCAAAAAAAAAAACAACAACAACAACAACAACAACAACAACAACAACAACAACAACAACAACAACAACAACAACAACAACAACAACAACAACAACAACAACAACAACAACAACAACAACAACAACAACAACAACAACAACAACAACAACAACAAAATAACAATAAACAAACATAACCAAACAACAAAAACAACCGCCTCCTCCTGACTCTCGAGATGGCGGCATTGCGACTGCAGTGCCATGAGGCGACTCTCCAACCTCCGACGCGCAAAACCAAAACCCCAAAACGGCCGCCGCGACCCCCGAGCCCTTGCTATGGAAGCAAAAAACTGACGGATTTGTGCAGCCTACTAAAAATGAACAGAGAACCAAACAAACCAACAAAAACAAAGAACAAAAAGGAACGCAAGAGGTTCCGAGTGTGAAATTGGAGGTCTGAAAGTTACCCATCTCCCTTTGGGTTACCCTCTTGGGAAAGTCGCGCATATACTCACTATAGTCTCTTTCCTCCGTTTGCTTAAGTCCCTTGGATAAAATAAATTTCCAGTAGTGATAGATTCCCTTTAAAACCAACAGGGAAAATAAAACATATTCTTAATCAAACGGAAGCTATTGACCGCACCCAGGATCAACCGCCCAATTCACCTGGCGCGGACTCCAGAGTTGGGGAACTAATGGGACAAATGAAACAAATAGGTCCAGTAGTGAAATCGATTCCCTTTAAAACCAACCGGGGCAAATACAGACCTTTTTCAGCACTGCAGAAGATTCAAGGGAAACCAAAAGGAACCCATTCGACACGCCTGAACCATAGATACAAGCTGCTGACGATACAGGCGTGTGCAACTCAGGAAACGGATGCGGCACCTGCTTTGTTGGTGGATTTTCATGTAAAACCCGGGAAAACGTGCCACCCGCGGGAGAATTGACCAATCATCTGCGTCTGTTTTTTTTTGGCTGCCAAAAACACGGGCAACACATATGACTTTTTTTGGAGAAGTCTGCTCTGAGAAATCAGCTTCCCTCTAATTGTTGATTTGGATTGGTATTTGGAGGTGTTTCGGGTTGTGGTTTCCCATTAACCCTCCACAAGAATCACGGGTTCAAATCCAAATTCAAACCCCCAATCCAAAGCACCAATTTGGGGTTACTTGACCCAAGTTGCCATGAGAAGCCATGATCACCGTGTTTAGGTAGTTGGTTTTAAAGATGTCCCCGCTTCCATTTGTTTGAAACAAAAGGAACCAGAAAAGGGTGCGGATTTATTTTGGGATTTTTTTCCTTTTTTATTGGGAATATTTTTCGGTTTTCGTCCGGGCCAGCAAAATGTCGTATTTTACAGCATTTTCTCGCGAAATTGACGCATTTCACTAGCTCGTCAACATCCCCAGCATCGTTTTCAACATCCCCCGCATGTCCGACCAACATCCCTAGCATCACCAACAAATGGTGGGTAACAAAATCCAAGAAAAACAGAGCGGGGTAGTGATGATTCGAACAGGGGTGCAATTAAATCTCTGCAAAAAGTCTAAAAAGTAGCGGGGGGGTTGGGGGGGGGCGGCAGCCCCCCCCATGATGTTCAAAGAATTTGTAGAAAATCTAAAACGTAGCGGGGGGGTTGGGGGGGGGGGCGGCAGCCCCCATGATGTCGGAAGAAGTGGTGATTCAAGTAGGGGTGCAATGATTCAAGAAAGGGTGTGATAGAATTTGAAAGGCAGCGGGAGGGTTGGCGGGGGTGGCTTCCCCTATGATGTTCGAAGAAATGCATACATACAGACATACACGGACTACACAGATTACCTAAAATGTCGTATTTTGCAGCATTTTCTTGCGAAATTGGACGCTCGAAAAAGTGATGATTCAAACAGGGGTGCAATTCAATCTCTGCCGGGCCAGTAAAGTGTCGTATTTTACAGCATGTTCTCGCGAAATTGACGCATTTTACACTAGCCCGTCAACATCCCCCGCATGTCCCACCAACATCCCTAGCATCACCCACAAATCGTGTGACTGCAATTAAATCTCTGCAAAAAGTCTAAAAAGTAGCGGGGGGGTTGGGGGGGGGGCGGCAGCCCCCCCCCATGATGTTCGAAGAATTGATGATTCAACTAGGGGTGCAATTAATTAAATCTCTGTAGAAAATCTAAACGTAGCGGGGGGGGGTTGGGGGGGGCGGCAGCCCCCCCATGATGTCGGAAGAAGTGGTGATTCAAGTAGGGGTGCAATGATTCAAGAAAGGGTGTGATAGAATTTAAAAGGCAGCGGGAGGGTTGGCGGGGGTGGCTTCCCCTATGATGTTCGAAGAAATGCATACATACAGACACACACGGACTACACAGATTACCTAAAATGTCGTATTTTGCAGCATTTTCTTGCGAAATTGGACGCTCGAAAAAGTGATGATTCAAACAGGGGTGCAATTCAATCTCTGCCGGGCCAGTAAAGTGTCGTATTTTACAGCATGTTCTCGCGAAATTGACGCATTTTACACTAGCCCGTCAACATCCCCCGCATGTCCCACCAACATCCCTAGCATCACCCACAAATCGTGTGACTGCAATCAGCCCCCCCCCCCATCATGTTCGAAGAATTGATGATTCAACTAGGGGTGCAATTAGTTAAATCTCTGTAGAAAATCTAAACGTAGCGGGGGGGGGTACATACAGACATACACGGACTACACAGATTACCTAAAATGACGTATTTTGCAGCATTTTCTTGCGAAATTGGACGCTCGAAAAAGTGATGATTCAAACAGGGGTGCAATTCAATCTCTGCCGGGCCAGTAAAGTGTCGTATTTTACAGCATGTTCTCGCGAAATTGACGCATTTTATCCCTGTAAAAAAATATAAAAAGCAGCGGGGGGGTTGGGGGCTGCCGCCCACGATGTTGTTTGCAGAAGTGATGATTTGAATAGGGGTGCAATTAAATCTCTGCAAAAAGTCTAAAAAGTAGCGGGGGGGTTGGGGGGGGCGGCAGCCCCCCCCATGATGGTCGAAGAATTGATGATTCAACTAGGGGTGCAACCCCCCCATGATGTTCGAAGAATTGATGATTCAACTAGGAATGCAACTAATTAAATCTCTGCAGAAAATCTAAAACGTAGCGGGGGGGTTGGGGGGGGGCCGGCAGCCCCCCCCATTGATGTCGGAAAAACGCCACCTGCCGAAGAGGAACTGGGAATGCAGAGGATGCGAAAAGCCAAAAAGCCACCAAAAGCCGCATAAACCAGCAAAAAGCCGAAAAGCCTAGAAGCCCAGAAGCCGAGAAGCCAAGAAGCCGAAAAGCCAAAAGCCAAGAAGCCAAGAAGCCAAGAAGCCAAGAAGCCAAGAAGCCCAGAAGCCGAGAAGCCGAGAAGCCAAGAAGCCAAGAAGCCGAAAAGCCAAGAAGCCAAGAAGCCGAGAAGCCAAGAAGCCAAGAAGCCAAGAAGCCAAGAAGCCAAGAAGCCAAGAAGCCAAAAGCGAAAAAAAAAAAAAAAAAAAAAAAAAAAAAAAAAAAAAAAAAAAAAAAAAAAAAAAAAAAAAAAAAAAAAACTAAAATAAATACCCCTCCCCAGGAATTGGGGGGTACACTAACATGAAACTCACCAAAGGGTCCCTTTGAGAGGAACATAGTCTTCCAGGACCCCTCAGTCAGGTGAACGGCAGGTGGACGGGAGGGGAAACATAATATGGACCAAACTCTTTTCTGGGTCATGCAGGGAACACCTACGATTCCTTCTATGGCTAGACGAAATCCGGAAATCGCATCACTTGGAAAGCATGAGAAACCATTCATTGTTGGCATTTACAGGGGAATCGAATCATTCCACCGTTTCTTAGTGCAGGATTTCGTCCATCCACAGTATGCGCCAAACATTCCTCCGAAAACAAGCCAGTGCCATTCAAGTATTTGTTTCAGAGACTCGCCAAGAGATGAGGCCACTGAGCTGAAAACCGAGCCCATTGCAAAGTGAAACCAACTGGATGTTGTTCACTCAATCTTTGCCTGTAAAACTGGCGCGTTTTCTTTTTGGGAATCGGAGCTACCCCAAAAATGTGGCATCGGTTTTCCTTTCCGTGTTCCCTTTGCGTGTTCCAAAAAAGGGGGGAGTGGGTACCCCGCACAACAAGAGACACCAACTTGTCATGGGTCCTAGTGCCAAAGATTCTCCCACTTTGACAGGGGGCTGCTAACCTCCTCTCAGTTGCCCCGGATGGCACCCAGAAATAAAAGCTGATCACCTGCTGGGGCCACTAAACATGGACCAACCGGGGGAACTCAGTTGCCCTTGGTGACTCAGAACGTAACAGACAGCTTGTGGCTTTTCAACATGGTCGGGTTCGACCATTTTTGGGACTGGATTACTTCGGCTCACTTGCAAGCAAAACGAATCGACCAGCTTACCTTTTGCGTTTTTTCATTTTGGGCTCCCATTCGTGCAGGTGCCCAAAGGCGATCACAAATCAAAAGGTCGCCTTTACCAAGAATGGTAACCCGGCCATGCCCGTACCCCCAAAAAACAACCCAAATCCCGACTAAAATCGACTAAAACGGGTGGTGCACCTACCACTAAATGATACCATTGGTCTTGACCCACAGCCACCCACAACGGGAAAGCCAAAACTGGCCTCATTACTTTACCATGATCAAAGTCACCCCCTAAGTGGTGGGTTAAAGGGAACCAGCCAAACCAGTTTCTGACTTTGATAACCCCGGAAACCGAATCAAAATCATGACCCCTGCATCCCCTTGTAGACTTGCTTGGGATCCATTCCTCCCTTTGCTCAAGCCCTCTGGAAAAGTATGTCCAGTAGTGAAATCGATTCCCTTTGAAACCAACAGGGGAAACCGAATCAAAATCATGTCCCCAGCAAAAGGAAAAATCCAAAGGTCGAACGAGTCACTGAAAAAAGGCGCCTCTGTGAGGACTCGAGGCTACTGACGGACTTCATCTGCTGCTTGTGGAACTCGTCCTGGCAACCCCCCCTTCAGGGGGAAACCCAAGGTGATGGACAAAAAAGAACCGGGGAGCCCCCAAACCAGTGACTTCCCCCAGCTTTTCCTTTGCCTTCCCTCTCAAAATGAAGCAAAGACCCAAAAGGTCGGATCGGCCCAAAAGGAAACCTGCCACAGCACTAACCCAATGCTTGCAACCGAAACACGCGGCTACCAAGGACATGGGCAAGACGATAGTCCTTCCAGGTCGTTTAGTGGGAGTCCTCTGCTCAGTTGTTCAGTGACCCTGGAAAAAAGGGAGCCCTTCTTGGGGCTTGGACCATTTTTAGTGGGGCAGCCACCAAAAAAAAGGAAAAATAATTGGTGCCACTCAACCACTGAGTCTGTTTGTTGCGGGAACCAACTTTTGAGTCCCCCAAAAGTCGGCACCCAGTACCCGCAGCCCAAGAACTGCCTGTTTGGTGACCTTGGGATCATGGACGTGGCCAAAACAAGTTGGTTGCTTTCTGCGAAGCCCTGCTAAAATTTGTTTAACTTTTAGTGGTTTCATGGGGAAACCCCATCAGCTGGCAAAAAGTTATACAGTCCTAACATCCCTTGGCAAAACGCAACGTAGAACGCATCTCACATGGATCCAAGTCGAACCTACCAAATGGATCAAACCAAAGGGACCCAAGTCCAAAACAAGACAGCAACTGATGGGACTTAGTGCCAAAGGCCCAACTTGTCCCGCTTTGAACAAGGGGTCGCTAAGCAAAATGCACCAAATACTTTATAAGTTGGGGGGGTTGTTTTTTTGCAAATCCACTTCTTTTTTTTTGGGAGGGTACCTGGAATCAATAAACAAATCCCTGGCATGTTAATATGTGAACTTCTGGGGCGCTTTTTCCCGGCGCTGAAAACTCCGCCTGCGGGAAGTACGCGAATTCGACCGGCACCGGACGACGTCTTCGATCGTCTTTTGGGTCTCCGCCTGGCTGGCTCGGAGCTCGTTCTTGCAGTTGGCCAAGGCGATGGCCTGGGAGACTCGAGTCTGGGTGGTCACACAAAATGGGGGAAAACGCGCAGGGTGTCCATGGGCGCAGTCCCCACTGAGCCCTGTGACCCTTGGATGGTTTTGGGACCCAGCCCTCGGAAGCTGGAACCACTTCTCTGGGCCCTGGGGCCCCTGGGCCCAAATCCCTCGCCTCCAGCTGGGGAACTCACAGGAAGAACCATGGGATGGGTCTTTGGTTTCACTGTTCCCCTTTTCTTCCAGTTGCTTTTTGTTGCCCCCTGGAAAAAATCAAACATATTTTTCCGGTGGTGATAGATTCCCTCTAAAAAACCGATTAGGGGAAAACAAGCATGTTCTGTTGCAAACGGATGTACCGAAAGGCGGACACCCAACACCGTGGTGCCGAAATACGGATTGATTTCACAACCATCCACAGTACGTCCAGTGGTAAGCGCAGCATGGATGTTTTCTCTTGCGACACCAAGAGGAAAGCCATCAGTCCAGGCTTTCCCATGGGGTGAAGTCCTTGGGTTCGATGGAGTTCGAAAACCAGAACGCTCTTCTGCAGCCGAGTGGATTGCGCCCCCAAAAGTGGATTGCCCCCCGGCCAGGTTTTGAGACCCCAAAACCCCTCTAGGGTGTCTATTTGGGGGGTCGGGTCTTCCATTGAAAGCCCCAGGAAACTAAAATCGTCCAAAGCCCAAGAAGACAAAACATGATTAGACTTAGGCCCAGTTATAGAATGCATATTCTATTGTTTGCTTCCCTTTGAGTAACTGGTAAAATGCAAAATGTATCCTAAGTCTAACCCAGAAAAGCCTAAAACGGAAATCAGGAAGCGAGGCTAATTGATGTAGAAGTAGATTCCTCCATCATACAGCCTGATCGCTTTGCCTCCAGCAGCTAAGCACGTCCTTCTAAAATGGCCTGCCTCCCAATGGCAACGCCGATTTTGTGTTGGCAAGTAACTTTGTCATTTGCAGCCCCAAGCCCAAACTGACCCACATGCAGGCTGTGCAGCAACTACCCTGCCAATGCTTGTAAGGGTAGCTTATTCTCATGACCAAAAGGAGCATGCGCTTGCGCGAGTGAGAGCCAAATTCAATTAAACTAGCTAACCGGCCTTTCAAGTGAAGAACAGGGAAAGCCATAAGCCCAAATGGTAACCCGTCAAGCTCTTTTATGGTTGATGCAGCGTAACTTCGGCCAACCGTCCTGAAAAAAACACTTTATTAAGATGGGATCCTCTAAATTGTTTACATTCAGCGAACTGCAACTTAAGGGGAAACCCAGTGACCCTGTCTAAATCTCATAGGTTTTCCCTACCAGACCCCCTGCCCAGGTGCATAACCCCGAATTGCTATTTTGGATTGGTGGCTTGGGGATTTGTACCCCAGTACCTTGGAAACAAAGGGGGGGTTGCTTGCTTTTTGTTAAGCTTCCATTTGCTGAAATGTGTTTTTTCATTTCCCCTTTTTGGTTCTTAAGGGAATCGATTTCGCTAATAGAGATTTGGGGGGGGGGGAGCAGCCCCCCCTCACACCCCCGAACCGCCCCCAACCCCCCTGACCCCCAATGACCCCGAATTCCACCCCCCCAAAAAAACAAAAACCAGCAAGGGCCTCCGCTTGCAGCTGCCCAAACTCCGCCTTGCAAAAGCTCACCTCCCTCGCCGCCATGCCTCGCGACTCGCGACTCGCGACACCCAGGAAGGCAGGAAGGCGCCTGTGGATTGATGTGTTATTTGTTTTCTTGTGCTTTTTGTTTGCAAATCCACCTTTGGAGGGTACCTGGTATTTATGAATTTTCAATTTGTGGGTTGATGTGTTGTTTGTTTTCTAACTTGTTTTATGCAAATCCAGTTTTTTTTGTTTTTTTTCTTTTTTTTTTTCCGACTGTACCTGGAACCCATAAACAAATCCTTGGCATGTTAATGTGTGAACTTCTGGGTGTTTCACAAAAAAGGGAAGAGCTGGGCCCCACAGGAAGCAACAAAAACAACAACGTCAGGCCACCCTCACCTCAGCTTCCCTCAAAAAGGGTGGTTTGGAGACCGGTGGTTTGGTGGTGTTCTGGAGGGGTTTCCCATTAACCCTCTACAAAAGCCAGGGTTCAAATCAACAAACCACCAATCCAAACCACCATTAGGGTTACCTGAATCATGTCACCATGTCAGTTGCCGTACACTGCCATTGAATAAACTACCATGTCCTCACAGACCTCCGATCGGTAGCTGCGAAAGGTCTCTGCTTAGAAGCAAATTTGGATACCCCCATCTCCGCAACCAACAACTAGAAGAACAACGGGCACTCTAGAAAAACAAAGGAAATAAGAAGGAAACACAACTGCAAAACATTGCACAAAGCAATGGAAGAGCAAGACTTGACACCGCCGATGCCCGACCGCCTAGGTCTTCCAGTAGAGAGGTTAGAATAAGGGTGCCCACTTTTCTGAAGCACATCACCTGCATCATCTGCACCAGCTTCAGCAACAGCAGCATCTGCATCATCCGCATCGTCTGCATCATCCGCATGAATGCGCAACACATCCCTCAATCTGCAGAATCGAAAGGGGACTTGGCCATATTGGCGCAATCCATTGCTAGCACCATCTTTATTTTCCGCATCATAAGCCTGCATCCATCCTCATGACCTGCATCAGCTGTGCAAACAGCAATGAATCGTGTCTTGAAAACGGGCGCACATCGCCTGCACTGTCAAAAGGAGCATCGGCCGCATCATCAGCATCACCTGCATCAGTTGCATCATGCACATCGTCAGCGTCGCCCACATGACACACCTCGTCTGCATCCTCTGCAGTAGCGTGTCCCCGCAATAACAAGACCGAGTCAACTTGCCCAACCTTGAGAGGCGTAGGTGAACAGCAACTCAGAAGGCCCTTGAAAAGTTCGGACCAAAATGGGTTCGGTGGCTTTTCTCTGCCCCAAGTATGGCCCAAACGCGGGGGCTTATGCTGACTCCGATGTTTCTTTCATCAAACGGGACCGGACCCCCTGAATTTTGACCACACACGGAATCGGCCAGAAATAACTTGCCGGTGCTCGTTTTGGGAATCAAACGTTGTGGGACTCCCTGAAAGCAAACCAACTCTGCTCTGGTTTCTCTATAGATGGCGCCTGCTAAATGTATACAGAAAACAAAAACAAAAAGCAAAACCAGTGCAACCCGCATCTATTTCGAACCAAGCAAACCGATCCACAGGACACCCACGCGGTTTCAGGAACCGCCTCGAGCCGCCTCCGACTTGAAGCCAAGCGACTTCTGCATTCCTCCTGGGCCTGAGTGAGCTCCGCGGACAAACTCCTCCAGGAGGCTTCGAGGTCAGTGGCCAAGGTTTCAGCGCGCATCTTGGATAGGGGCAATGCTGGTCCAAAGCCATGGTAAAGCTCACTGGCTGAGATGGCCCACAAAAAATATCCAAACTTTACATTTACCACTAAAAAGGTCCAAACCCAAAAAGTTTATAAAGTTTATGAACTCAGGAAGTGGTAAAGTGGAAACCAACTTGGAAGCCAAACTAATTCGGCTGCTTTCGTGTAGTGGGCATGTCTAAAGTAGCCCTATACAAGAGAGGGAAAAGGATGGAACACCAAAACGGCAAAAGGTGAAAAGAGGTAAGTCCAATCTGGTAATGGCTGTGTTCCATCTTTCGAAATGTTTTGGGATTGACCTAAAGGGTCGGGAGAGTTTGGGAGAAGGCATTTTTCAGTTGGTTTAGTTCCCTTTACTTGCACCCCGGACGCGTTGGCCGGTGTGGTCGCAAGCAGCAAGGCTCGACTGGGTGAAGGGTTTTGCTGGATTTGGGGTCCACAACACCGATACCATAGGCCTACTGTGGATGGACGAAATCCTGCACCACTTAAGAAACCCTGGAATGAATGATTCCCCTGTAAATACCAACGAACAATGGCTTCCCATGGTTTCAAAGTGGTGCAGGATTTCGTCCATCCACAGTATGATCAGTACACATGGATCAAGACACGGCCAAAAGGTCTGACTCGGGCTTTGGGAAGTGAGCGAAGCCCGGTGTCCTCATCCTCTCAGGATCTCCTGGCCATATGCACAGCCAAACTGTCGTGCAGCCACTTTGCAACGGGCGGAGTCGGAATGCGCAACTCCAAATATGGAAGACAACCAACCCGTGTCGAAAGGTCGGCCTTGGGCAAGTGAGATCCGGAAAACAATCAGGTCTAGTCGTGCGAAAGCGCGTGGTTCCGTGGCACGGTCAATGTAAGTCGAGAGGGGGGGGGGGGTCTGCTAAGAAAATAAATTTGCACTGGGGGGAGTTGGTAGAGGGCACACTTCCCTTTTGTGCAGGCCAAGCAAAAGAGAGGACAAAACCAAAATTGTGCGGGGGGTTGCACAATACCCTCACCCAACAGCACATGCCACAAAACAATACGGTTTAGCCGTGGCACCATCATTCAGCGACCTGATGCGCTGACAAATCTCGCTGTACCCGCCCGACTCGTCATTCATCAGGGCACACCCCCAATAATTTTTCCGACTGGCTTGCTTGAATCCTTGGTCTCCCGTCTGTGGCAACCTGCGATGTCCCATAGTTAGAACTGTTGCTTCTACCTTGGGTGCTGTAGATCTTCGAGCAAAAATAAACTTGTTGCTGGTTAAAAGGACATATTTTCGGGGAATCCAAAAAGTCAAAGTCTAAAGATCCAACCCAATAGCAGGGGAACCCAATAGCAGTAGAGCTACGGGGCTGATTTCACCCTTGGTGCAAGCAACACTGCATTGGGCATGAGTCCTAGACCAGTCTACTGACCCATGGCGACAAAAATGGTCATATCCTTCAGCTTCCCGTCGCCTTTGCCCAAAAAAACCGGGGGCTTCACAAATCCCGGGCTTTCTCGGGCGGGAGGCTGGGTGCGCATGTTCGCCCAATCTCGCGCGGCTTTCTCTCTCTTCGCCTCTCGGATCGCCTCGGATCCGTCCTGGGGGGCTGTTCAAGGGATCAAAGACACTCCGATCCCTACAGGTACAATGGTACAACTCAATGTGCAAACAAAAAACAGGTATACCGTGCAACTCAATGTGCAAAAAAAAGAAACGGAAATATGCCACTGATAGTTGTGTTTTTTTTTTTTTTTCAGGATGTGGCGGCAATTTCAACCCTGCACCCAAGTTGGAGCTATGGGAAAATATGTCTGCATGCAGTGCTTGCTATTTCGGGCTGCCAATTGTAGGCGCCGCTATCAAAAGGTACAGCTACTTAGTGGCTGAATGATGGATCTGGGAAGGGCCTGATTGCCAAGTGCCCTTCCCAAGTCCGAAAAATCCTCCCGGGAGACCGGAGTCGGAAGCCAACTTCCGGGATTCCCTTCTGAGTGACGAATTCGATCTTGGACGGCCACTTGCTTTGTACCCCCCTGCAAAATAGCACGGAACCCACAAAGAGGGCCCCCTCACAAGGGTTGTCGCGTACCAAAGATGTTTCTCTGTAGGGGATGCAGGGGTTCCATGTCAATCTGCAGGTGGATATGGCGCTGCCTTACAAAAAGCAAAGGCCAAGCAACGCCGACAGGCTCAGCGACAGCGCGGAAGCCCCCGAAAGCTCAGAGGTTGCTCCAGTAGTAGTTGAGGAAGGCTGTTGAGTGGTCTGCTGCAAGTCAATGACAACCTGAGTCCACAGCCTTCTCATCCACCATGAGTTGGTAGAAAGGTCCAAGCAATTTTGGGTGCTGTTGGGTTGCCACTGAAATGGTCCGAACCCAAATATCCAGGCACTCAGTGAGTGAGCTATGAGACCGGGGTCAGGCAATCACAAGACTGTGTCCTCCCCAGGCTGCTCAGAAAGCAAACGGGCTGCCCGGCCATTGACAAGCGAAGAAAAGAAGAAGAAACAAAAAGACATGTGGCGTCTCATCTGAAGAAAAAAACAGCAGGAGAAGTACATCAAAACATCATGTGTCTAGCGGTACCTTCCCCATTCTTTCCAGGCATCCTTCTTTCTTAAAAACAAAAAACAAGTACCCACAACTTTGGGGAAACAGATCCGGTTGTTGAAAAGAACGATGGTTGAAAATGATGGAAAAGGAATCAACCCCTGTTCTCGGAACCCGCACCCTCCACAGGTTGATCTCTGCGGGAAAAGAGGGAAAAGCAGCAGAAGGCTCCGGTGACAAGGCTGCTTCTTGCTGCTTGACTTTGCAGGGAAACTCGCCAGCCGCACCCCTTCCGTGTTTCTCACATTCCCATGGCAAAAACATGCCCCAAAAGGAAACACAAAAATTTGAAAGGGGTCAGCTCGCTTTGGATAAAGTACGAGTACTTTGGGGGATAGATACAATCGCGGAGGACCTTGCATTGATCCCCTTTCCCTTCCTGAAGCAAAAGGTTACCCTTTGTAGGTGCGCAAAAGCGAGTTATTTCCAGGTCCCACTAAGATCCGCCAAGTTCATAATCTAGGTTCTCCAGTAGGGAGGTTGGAATAAGGGTGCCCATTTTTCTGTAGTCTATTTTAGTAGGGGGTTCCCCCTCCCAACCCAAAAAGGTTGAGAAAGGGCACCTAGCTGGGAGACCTAGTAATTACCACATCCTTAAGCTCCCTCTGTAAAAGCAGATTTAGGCTCCCTTGGTCCGTCTCCCTTCCAACCAGCTAGGTCAGCTAGCTCAAGTCTCCTGAGTCACAATCAAAACCCGGTATTAAAATGGTTGACCCAGAACCATGTAAGGAAATACAAAGGCGGCCGCAGCTGTTTCTGGCCGGGAGTGTCCCTGACTAACCTTCATCTACCCGGGTTTTGATTGTGGCTCTCCTGACGCTTTGGGAGGTTCGCATTGATCAGCTTGCAAGGTGCCAGCGGATCGTAAGCCCAGCCCTTTCCAAGACTCCCCTTCCCCCACTGACCTCACTGACCCCCCGAACCAAACCCCAAAGAAGACACATGACAGTTCCCCCCCCCCCGAAAAAAAGAAGAAGAAACAAACAAACAACAAAAGAAACAAAAGTTAATTTGTGGCTTACCCAGGAGGGAAAAACAACTTAATTTGTGGCTTACCCAGGGGTATGTTCCAGGGGTCCAGCGGTACCTTCGGCCTTCGCATCTCTGCCCGGGCGCGGTTGGCCCCGTTCGGTCCGCCGCGGAGTCCGCGATGATGGCCGTAGCCATCGCCACCTGCACCCAGCGTTCGGAGCTCTCCGAGTAGTAGGAGAGATCTCGGGCCTGAGCCGCGATAAGCTGACGTGCGCCGCCAAAAAAACGTATACCTGGACCCTCCACATTCCCGTAAAAACCCCAAAGTTCTGGTGTGAAATCCTTTTTCTTGAGGGTCCATTTAGTTGGTTCTTATGTAATTGTTGACCCTAATTATTGGGACATCATGTCTGCGGTTCAACGCCCAGTGGGCGTGTCTCTGGAGCCTAGTCGTCAGCTTGCCAGGACGAAAGGTGTCTGCAGAACTCAAGTTTGCTCCAACCAAATACGAAGAACAGAAACAAACAACGCGTATATGCCTTGGTTGCTGTTGACCCCTCTGCAAAAAGCTTTTAACTTTTTGGGGGTTTAGAGGAAAACACCTTTAGTTCCCACAAAGTTAAAGTCTAAAGATCCAACCCAATAGCAGCCAAGATATGTGCATTATGTGATTTCTCACTTTCTGAGGGGAGGCCAACAAAAGTCCTAACTCATGTTTTCCACTAGCACGGTCTTACCAAAGCCTCACGTCTAAACTCCAGGAGCGAGTACACTTCTCATTTTTTGTTCAATGGTACCCACCCACCCGAAGAAAAAAAGAAGGTATGTTTGCAGAATTCCCCGGCATTTCCAGTGAATTCAGTTTTTTTTTGGGAGGTCGCACCGTTTTGTTGGGGTACTTCCGCCTCTTCCAGGGCTTCCATGATGTTCTCCCCCCTGAGCTACCTCCAAAACTAAAAGGTGCAACAATGACATATCTCTTAAGGCTTCATTTTAAGGGGTCGCCTCTTGCTTTTGTTGTTTCTTCTTCTTTTTAAGCGGGTTTCACCTTGTCGCAGGCTTCGTTTCTTTCGTCGGCTTTGTGTTACAGGGATTTAGTCCCTGACGCCGAGTATGGGGATCCCTCGCCTTGGATCGATCTAGGTTGTTCTTCCCCTCTGAGCATTCTCCGCTATTTGTGGTGGTTTTTTGTTTTGCTTGCGCTCTCTCCAGCTTTGCAGCCAAGGGTTAGGTGTGCGCGGACAGTGCATGCATAGCTCCCCAAACTCATTGGCCCTGTTTTGTGTTGGTTTGAGGGAGCCATCTGCTTCCAGAGGCGATTTGGTCACAAAGAAGATCAAAGACTTTGGCCCTTCAACAGCCATGCCGAAGGTCGAACACTGAGGGGATGACCCTGCTACAGAAATGAGCCCTACCCAGGTTTCCACAGCCATTTCGGCTCAACACGGGCCGCAACTTGGGGATTTCAGTCCCCCCACCCCTTTTGGTGGCGTTTGCAGGGCCGCCAAAACTTGGGACGGCTCCCACTCCTCTCCAGCCGACCGGTTCAATGGGTTCCGAGGGGCCGTGAGGGGAAAGAGCAGCGGCGCCGTGGCGCCCGGCTGCAGCAGGGAGGTCTTCTGGAAGCCCTTCCTGGGCTTGAAGGACCCTCCCAAAAAAACATAGACTTCACATGTGCTCATTGCGCGAGACCGCCCCCGGTTGGGGGGGGTTGGGGATATTCATTCGGAACATTCGAGCCAGTCGAAAGAACAACAATGGGGGGGGGCATTGTTCGAAGACGGGGGAGCACCGTTCAGAAACCCTGAAATGATTCGGTGAAATGAGTCAGAAACCCTTGTTTTAAATATACAAAATACTTCCAGCAGTGAAATCGATTCCCTTTAGACAAACAAAACACCAATAAAGCACACTCAATTCAGCAAATGGAAGTAGACCAGCCGGCGACGATTCGGCCAGAAAGACTGTAAACAAAGCTTGGGCCTGGAGAAAAATGAGCAGGAATCAAGCTTAAGCCAACTCAGGAAGTAAGGAGGGGCTGGAAGATCAGTGTTCCTAGACCGATTCCTATGCAAGTTGGAGTTTTCTCTGTTGGAGGGCGACCTGCTGGCTCAATTC